TACCTTCTGATTTTATATGGAGCTTTATAATTTAAACCTTAAGACTTTATTTGAAAATATAACTTAATTATTTTTGTTTAGTTCTAATTTTTATTCATTTATTAGTAAACCAATTTTATCTCTCAGGCATTTTATCCCCTCAGGGGCTCACCTTCTTTAGGTGAGTACGGGTGTCACAATCCCGAGGAGCCCTATAGTGATCATTTCCTTTTCCCAAGGGGTTTACTATCTTCGGTGAACACGGGCTTCACAAACCCGGGGTACCCTAGTGATCCTTCTCTATTTTCGACCCTCCTTCTTGTCATTCAATTCATTCTTTCTTTCCTTTTCCGTCTAGACCACAGATCAATTTTTTCGAACTGTACATAGATACAATTATTGTTGAATTTTTTTTATAAGAAAACTTATTTATAACACTAACATATTTTGGATTACATTTTGTATTGCATTAAATTTGTTTCTTTTTCTTCAGTTCCTTTAAATATTTTGATTATGTTAATTTTGATCTTGGATATCTTTGGATATTTGATTTTTGTATTTTGATATTCATTTCATATTGAATTTTCATTTATACTGAAGTTTTTTCCTATTGTTTCGATTTTTGTTTGTTTTTGACTAACACCGTTGGTTTTCTGACCCGCATGTTTGCCGTGTGCGGCGTCCCGTAAGGAGGAAAATGGTGTCCTGGGGATACCTTTGCGCTCCCTTTGGCCCACGCTTCGCTGTTGACGGGGGCAGGAGTGAGCCCGCTCCTGTCAATCGGCTGGTAATACCTCTCTTCGGTGTCCCCGGAGAGACATTGCTGTAGGGTTAGTGCTGCAGATAAGGGGTGGCGGGTTTACCCGTTGGATCCCCACCCTGATGCTGTAGCACTATATTCTGGGTGTACTCCAGGTAAGCGCCGTGCCTGGTTTTTGCCAGATGACCGGCACACTGCCTCCCTTGTTGGACTCCGTGGTGGGTGGAGGCACGCCAGGATGAAGTTTCTCTCACATCTATGGATCCAATGCTGAAGTGCCCGGGTAAAGTGTTTTACCCACATTAACCGTTGATCAAATTGCAACACATTCACTATTTTTACTTATTTCCATGCCGAATAATCAAATGTCTATCAAATTTCCTTTCGCAATTCATAAAGCTTTAATAAGAATAGGTGGTAAACCGAAATCTATAAAATGATTGAGGTCCGGGGATCTACTTATCAAAACCAATTCTGCTGTACAAACAAAGTCTTTCTTACTTGCAAAAACATTTCTCGATTCTCCTGTAAGTATAAGCCCACATAAAAATCTTAACACATCCCGTAGTGTCATATCTGAACCTAATCTGTTGACCACCTCTGAAGCGGAAATCCTCGAGGGGTTTTCCGACCAGGGTGTATTACAGGTCAGAAGAATCACAATAAAAAAAGATGCAAATATTATTCCAACCAAACACTTAATTTTAACCTTCAATAGCCCAAAACTACCCACATGCGTAAAAGCCGGCTAGCTCAACTGTAAAATACGCCCATACATACCGAATCCTCTGCGCTGTTTTAAGTGCCAGAGGTTCGGGCATTCACAAACTTCCTGCCGTGGACAACTTACTTGCTCTACTATATATAAATGTGCATCTGTTGGACATGCTTCCACAGATTGCATTCTAGAGCTTACATGTATTAACTGCTCCCAACCCCATTCCACCGATTCAAAACTGTGCCCAAAATGGAAAACTGAAAAAGAAATACAAACAATTAAAACCAACAAAAATATGTCATTTGTAGAAGCCAGAAAATAAATAGCCCCACAGACATTTCAAACCTACGCTCAGGCTGCTAAAACAATAACTGTAAGCAATTCCTCATAAACAGATGAAAATATTACCAAAATAGTATATATGCCCACCTTTGAAATTATTACAACCAATAATATCCGTTCCAAAACCAATAATGCCATCCAGAATTCCTTCAGTTAACAAATCATGTACCTCAACTCAAGCACAACTCATGCCATCCTCATCTTCTGTTACTATTGCATCATCATCAGATTCTCAGCCACCTATTCCTTTGTTTACTAATGCTCTCTCCACGTCCAATAGTGTTCTTGAATCTGTCGAATTATCCTCATCCAAACAAACACCTTCCCCTTCTACATGCCCCATTTCTACAGTCTCACCCGCAACATCTACTAGTCTATCTACCTCCGCGCGTTGCATCTTCCTCATCCAGTAAAGCACTTTCTTCATCAACAGCATCAATGTTTACACCTTTACCAACTGAAGCAAGTCCTATTCTTACGGCTAATACTACTACATCCAATACCATACCTTCCACATCTCAGGCTTCAAAACTTCGTAATAAAAAGCGTTCACCTAAAAACAATAAAAAACCCAATATAGAAATCAAGATGGCTCCACACAAACCTAGAAAGTCGGCTCCAGTTGAATATACTACAGATGAGGAAGACATGATTATGTACGACGTGGAGGGGGGGGGGGAGAGGAGGAGGAATATATACCAAATCCTAATTGTACTGTAAAAGACGGGAAAACGTATTACAAAGGTGATTTGCTTAAAACGCCGACGAGACATCGAAAATAACTTTTTCTCAATAGTACTTTCAAACTTGGTGGGAAATCCCCCCACATCTTTGTTTGTTTTTAAATTTATGAAAATCAATTTTTATGAAATTTGAAGTTTTATCTTTTTTAACTGAAATTTTATTAGATATTTTAATGATTTTTAACTCTTAATGTTTTAACGAATGTTTGGCGCAGCTTAGCCAGATTTGGCTCTTGCGCCGTAAACCCAACACTCACTCACTCACTCAGGCATTTTATTAAGGACAATAGAATCAGAATGAACACAAAACTAATATATATATATATATATATTATTCCAAAACTTAAATATGTTTTTTCCCCATCAAACCTATATTATAAGTGATACTTCAATAACATATTTAGTGAAACGTACAATTTTTAAATATAATATATCGTTATTTTCATTTTTATAACATTCATATATTTTTTTCATACGAATACATTTGATAAGACTTAATTATAATACTGTACACAAATTCTTATGCTTATTAATTAAATAATTTATTTTGACTGAATTATTTTTAAGTCTTGCAGTTAGGAATATTAAATGTTCACATTTATGTTTTAGAATTATTCTAAACATTTTTCAAGTTAATGCCTAAAATAGATAATAATAGTACTAAATATAATATATATGAAAAATATATATAATTCTCATTATGAGAAAGTACAATTTTATTTCAGGGTCATAAACATGCTTGTAAACATAGAACATAACAATAGCCTTTGCGTGTAACCTTTCGCGTGATCCCTTGTCATATGTGGAACCATTTTCATGTCACGTGACCTTTCGTCACCACTCAAGCTGTATATACATAAACATGTGAGTGTATATTCCCAAATCCTTTATTTATGTGAATATTGTATCTGTGGTTCACCCAGCCGCCCCCTTGCAATGCGGTTCACTGATTTCTCCCCCTCCCCCTCCCCTAGTTTACGAGCAAATATAATCGTCACGCAGTATCAACTTATTGTTTAGGTTTGTCAATTATATTCAGCTTGGCGATCAACTTTTTCGCCAAAAGTTTTTTACAGCAACAGTGACATTTAGGAAAATGATAGATAAACACAAATTTAGAAGAAATTATTTCATTATTGCCGTACAAATTTTTAAAAATTTCTGCTTGCTTAGTTTAATTCTTAATGCAAAAATTATTTTAAATTTCAGTGAAAACAATGGGAAGAAACTCTATAAATACCGGGTAAAATACACAATAAATTTAATGTACTAACTTACGTCTATTTCCATTTAATTAGCAAAATGCATTTCAGCATTTCCTTTCTTCTTCCATATTTTACTCAATCTTATATATAATTTTATGAGATTCGTAAAAAGAGGAAATATTTACTAAGTTCAATTCTCCTTCACAACTCACTACGATTCCGTTTATGATTGAAAAATGTGTTTTCATGTCCGATTTATGTATAAGTATATAATTTCTGCATATATATTCCATATTATTCATCATCGATGTCGAATGGCTGAAGTCATTTTTGAAAAAATATTCCAAAATTAAAGAGAGAGAAAAAGTTTATGAGATTTCTTCTCCCAGGAAAGCGGATGGTCTAAAATCTTTTTGCTGTGAATCTTAAATAATTGTTATAATTTTCAAAAAAAGATGTTCTTTTTATTTCCTAGCTTAAAATAGAATTTCTAGTGTTGTTAGATCGTAAATTATTATTAGTTATAGTATTAACGTTTATTTTTTCGTCTTTTATTTATTTTTTCCTTGCTGAAAAAATCTCAATTTTCATTTGATTTGGAAAACTGTGATTATAAGTTACGATAATTTTTTATAAGATTAATTTTACATTACAAATTACGTGGCGATTTATAGTTTAATGTTATTATGTAAATAAAAGTATACAATCACTTTATGTGAGTAATTATGTTCTAAGCAATTATATTGAAAATAAAAGCTCTGTTAATTTGATTTCATCAGAAAGATGACTATTCTTTTTCATTTGATTGATTTGAAATAAAGTTATAATATGAATGTTTAATTTTATCCCAGCAAAATGAAACTAACCACGATTTAACACTGCCTCTTAAAGGTTGTTTCCTTTCTAACTACTTTTTTTAAAAAATTTCAAAATTTTCTTCTATGGATTGGAGAGTGAATCAACAGTTGTCATTAAAAAACCAGAAATGCAATATTTACTCAATTTTTCAATTCCTATTATTAGTTCACAATCTCCCTATATATATATATCTTGTTCAAATTTTCAATCTTTAATAAAATACTTTCAAATCCATTCAAGTTCAAACACATTTTTTTAAACATGTAGTGGATGACATGATACTAATACAGTTTTTTCAAATATTAATTCGTTAGTTAAACTTAATTAATGAATAAATAGTAACAAACAAAAATAATAGTCCAATATCATATATAAAAAGGAAAACCTCTCGTTGTGTCCCTGTAGCGCAATGGATAGCGCGTTGGAATTCTAATCCAAAGGTCTCGAATCCTACCTGGGGTGGCCTAATTGCTGAGAATTTGATTTATGAATGAATATATAGTAGCAAACAAAAATAATAGTCCAAAACCATATATAGAAAGGAAAATCGCTTTTAATTTTGCCACTTAATATTGTGATTATGTCATGAGTGAGTGAGTGAATATTAACGTCCCACCGCTCAGCTACACGAGGGCTTTTGGAGACGGTCCGCGTAATTTTGAACCATGGTCAAGTGACGCGGACGACAACTGAGCTGGCACCCCCTCTCCTAACTACCACACCACACCAACGGGAGGACGTTTGAGCTCTCGACAGATTTAACGTACCTTGCTCCCCTACACGGCGGGTCTTCAGTGGTACTGGGATCGAACTCATGGCATGCTAGCCACGATCCGATGCCTAGACCACTTGGCTACCCGTATATACATATGGCTGATTGTGTCATATGTATATACATATTTATAGTTATTGTAATTATTTAACAAAAAGTAACTTAACTAAAATAAAAAAATTTCATCTGTTGGCCTAAGTAGGAATTAACTTTAAAAGCATTTTTTTATATTACTTTTGAACATGTAAAAAACTCTCTTGACAAAGAAAAATATGATTTATTTTATAAATGTCAAAAATGTTTCTGTTTTCGCCAAATTAGCGATAAACAAAGAATTATGGTGCCTTCTATTGACATATTTCTACATTGTATGAGTAATCATCATCACGCTTACCATATGTTTCAATTTTTATTGCGGTTCGCGATGATATCTTCTCCTTAACTACCGTTCATGCACGAAACTAGTCACACCGGCCTTTTCATGCCAACTGCAATCAGAACAACCGGGGATTGCACGCACCGGGATCTCTAGCAATGTTGATTGACGTTCGGGAAGCTTTAATCAACACGATTTTTATTTCAATAATCATTGAACAGACAGAACCTGATGTATAAACACTCCAGTTTCTGGAAAATTGAGGGTTATTTTGGCACCTGGCTTCATATGATTCAGAGCAATAAAAGTTTAATTGCAGCTGGAAGTCCATTCAATGTGTTAAGGAAATATGGGCATCTTATTTTTTGCATTCTTGATAATTAACACGTTTTTCTTTCTACTAATTGCATGTTTAAGTGAGTAGTAAAATATACACATATTTATCGAACCTAGAGAATTGATAACCAGAATGCTTATTCATTGCAAAATTGTGTCATATTTTAATGTCAAAAATATATCAATCATGCGATACAAATTTAATTACATATTATTTATACATTTCTTTCACTGACACTTCTTTTTAAAAGTTTCTTAAACTTTAACCCCTTGAGCGGTCAATTTTTTTTTTTTTTTTTTTTTTTTGCCCAAAATGTTCCAAAAAAGGCACATTTTTTAATTGCATATCTCTAAGCATAATACTTATCAGAATGCAAAAGTGGAAGAATTTTATTTTAATTTTCAAGTTTAAAGTTTACGCATTATATCTTGTTTTATATTTGTGAAACAAAAAAAAAGCTCTTAAATGTTTGCTTTTTGCAAGTACACTTTGCATGCTATGAAGAATGTTTCATATATCTTAAAATAATTTATCTCACACGAAGAAAACAATTTCATGTTCGTATTTCTTTTTCAAATGGTTAAGTATTCTATATGTGTGTGCATATATAAATGCACATACAATTTGAAGCATGATGTCATGCTGTCTTACCTTGCAATAAGGTGAGCGATAATATCAGCTTTTTTGGATTATTCTTTCTGTTTTCATATCTTCTCAAGCAACAAATTACACATTGTCTTGACAGTCCCTGTTCTGTATCGAATATTTTCAAGGATCTAAATTCCTGACTTCACTGAAAAGTTCCCACCTTCACCACAAAGAAATTCCCGGATGAGAAGTATTTCAGTACCATGGATACACTGCATCTCTTAAAAACACGCTAACACAAATAATCTCACAATAAGAATTAAAAATATGTGCAAATCAAAGATAGAAAGAAGAAACTATCAGTGCCCATACAGCGTACAAGCAAACCGGTTGTGGCTAGCTTTTGGTAACCCGTACGGTGTACGGGCAAACCAGTAAAGAGGTTTAATGAATGTTAGAATTGGTTTTAAAATTCAAATCTACTAAGTTTCACTAATTGGTCCATATCACATAAAAGTAATAAAATTGCGAATTACTGCTTAAAAACGCATTAAAACAAATTATGCAGCATTTCTTTTTAATGTGGTTTGATTTGTTTAAATAATTCTAAAATTACATTCATCAAAAATTTTTAACCAAATTTAAAAAATCAACCGACTTGAAAATAAGGCGTCTGAAAAAACAATCCTAAAATCGCAAAATAAGAAAAATTCATTTTAGCGCCAAAATAAAAACATGCAGAAGAACATTAAATTGCTTTAAAGTTTACTGAAATAAGCTTGCAAATTCATTTGTATTCATTTTTTCCAGTTAAAAAATTGTATTCTTTAAATTTTACTCACCAAACAATCAAGAAAAATCTAGGGTATTTTTTTTTAATTCTTCTGCTGGAAAATGGATTTTTTAAACTTCTTGACCTTTATAACATTACAAGAAATCATAACATGTAATTTAATTTCTAACATAAACTCAAATTTTCGTAATTCTTTGGAAAGGGAATAGTAAAATATTTATTTTATTGAACGTATACTCGTGATAAATGTCTTTCAGTTATATAACTCAAAAATATAATAATATATAATGTTTTTTTTTAAATAATAAGTCATGCCATTAATTACAAAAGAGATTTTGTCAGTCTCCCATAAGGTATGGAAATTTTGAGTCATCTTCGCACTTTTTTTTTTCAAACTAAAACTATTAAAATATTTTTTTCACACATCAAAGTTGATTTTTGGAAAGATCTAAATTTCTTCAAAATTTATCAGTTTGTAGATTTATTTAAATTAAAACACCAAGTAGAAATCCTAACCAATGATCATCAATAATATGACGCGTAAAGTATGTATGAATAACTGGTATTTACTGACAACCGTCGATCAACTCGACAAATGAAAAAACGACTCCAAATGCTTCGATATGCAGCCAATAATGGTAAACTATTTCTACATCCACACAATCTACAAACACAGCAACCTTGTTCGCGAATACGATGACAGCATTTGGCGACATATTTTGATTTAAAGAAATTGATCGATGGTATAACACATAAATACTAATACATTTATCCAAATTCTTTATTATTGCTCGTATTTCATTTTTTTAAATTTACATGAATTTTGTCCAAAGATATATGTGACTAATATCTCTACTGGGATTCATAACAATATTCTATTCAGACACAATTTTTTAGTGTATATTTCCTCTTTTGCTATTTTTTGTATAAAAATTCTATTAAATTAGAAATACTGATGCATGGGGTGCTATATTTTCGTCGCAGTACTTACATATTATACCGTTCATCAATTTCTTCAAATAAAAAGTCACCAAAGGCTGCGATGTACAGCCTAGCAGAGGAAAACCGTCTCCCTGCATGTTCCAAAACAATAATGACAACATTTGGCGAAATCTTTTGAATTGGCGATATCTTTCAATTTAGCGAAACTGATCGATAATAGAATACATAAATACCTTTAAATCGCCATTACCTTACTTTTTTTGTGAATTCTTATATATGACTCGGCAATTTTTTTCAACAGATTACTTCTTTAATATTAGTTTTAAAGATCATTAAAGCTTGATTAAGGAATAGAAGCAAAAATATTTCTAAGAGAATTTGAGTATATAATTCTAAAACTGTGTTTGTAATGCACATTTAATGCTTGAATTTTCCTTGAAGCAATGGTTTGAACCTATCAGGTGTTATTTAAAAAATGAAAGTAAGTGAATTTTTTTCTGTTGGACAAGCTCCTCCCAATAAGTTTTAATAAATCGTTAATAATATTAATGCATGAGGTATTTTATACCTCTTAGACTCATCAGAACAGTAAATTATGAAATCCTTCAGGTAAAAAAGAATGTTATCAAAAGTAGCATTAGCCTAAAGGTTCATTCTCACAGCCTCATTAAAGCTTCAGACGCATCAGATATAAAGCAATAAATTAGCACTTAATTCAGCGATAACTCTGCTCAGCTAAGTAGCGAAACGGAATCACATCATTAAAGGCATCGATAAACCCGGAATAATCAACACAACCGATAAATTTAGAGCCTAAACCTGTCTACAAGACTTACTGCCCGGAATGTGTCTTTTATAATAATAAAAAAATAGAATAAGACCGCATTTAAAGCGTAGGAAGTAGAAAAAGGAAGTAGAAAAAATATTGTTTTTCTCTTAACGCATCGGACAATCCGACAGCAAATCAAAAGGAAACAGTTCTCGGACCACACCCACGATTTGAGCTCGAAATTTTCCAGGAAAACCGGAAAAATCCCTGATTCGGGAATCGACAGGAAACTCATTAAGATCAGAAGTGATTGATTTTTTGTTTCCAGAATCGCGGTCATGAAATAATAGAATAAGTATGAGTCAACTAGTAAACTTATTTTCGAAGGACACGATCTCGCAGGCTATTGTTAAAAGATTGCACTTAGGGGCGCTAATGACCAGTGGAAAAAAGAAGCGAAAAATTCCTCGAATTTCCTGTCATTTGAAAGGCGAGGGGAAGTTTCCTAAATGTGAAGGAGCATGCTGTAAAATGGCACTGATTTTGTATGCGAAACGTGTAAATTTAGGTAATAGCCTTCAGATTGGAAGTCTTTTAAGTACCTCTTTCGATTGATTTAGTGCCTCTTAAAAACAATCTCTTTGCGATATACAAACTTAATGGGGCTGAGAGTAAAGAGATAAAAATGTTCTTAGCAACAGTTGCATTTAAAGGCAATGTTTCAATGAAACATGCTGGCCGTAGTAGCTTAGGGGTCATGGTTAGGAATAAGTGGCCAACATGTCATGAGTTCGAGTCCTGGTGAAATTGAAAACCCACAGTGTAGGAGAGCTGATGGCCGTTAAATCTATCGAGTATCAAAGCTCTCCTATTGGTGTGGTGTGT